TTATGAGCTCTTAAAAAAAAGAAACCTAGAAAATCTACCACCTCTGCCTATCCCCCTCCCTGCCTTTCCTCGATAGCAGAAGTCTTTCTTTAATTATTGTTTAATAGAGAATAGGTTAATGAGAAGGTGGAGGTGGTAGAGAAGACCTCACACAGGTGAGTACCTTACTTCATAAGTGAATAAAATATTTGATTTCTAAGGACTTTGTTAAAGAACTTCTAAAGGAGGTTGTGTGTGAGTGTGTGTGTGTGTGTGTGTGTGTGTGTGTGTGTGTGTGTGTGTGTGTGTTTGGGCTTTTGCAGAACCACAGATGGTTTTGAACTCATGTAATCCAACTTCATTATTTTATAGATGAGCTATTTCAGGCACCCTGTGGTTTACCTACTGTGTCACAGCAGAACTATTTAACCATGAGTTACTTGAATTTTTGTCTTCCACGCATTTTCCACTGAAATGACACCAGATCCCCTTAGGTTGAGTTCAGGACATACTTTTGTTAGGCCAGATTCTATGTCAAGTGAATAGTACTTCAGCAAAGTTTGATGTGAAAAGAGTGAGACATTGTTTTGCATGACTGTCAGAAATTGAGTGCCAGAAAGAAATTTCACATTTGTGTGTTTTTCAACACAAATAAGGCCAATGTTTCAGGGCAGTTGGTGTAAACCTTGTATTACTTTCCTCATCCCAAATAATTGGTATCCATGGAAACATTCTGAACCAGTCAGCTGACCACATGAGCTCATCTCCCATGAGCTAATACAAAATGAGGTTTTGGATGGCTTGGGTTAGTTAATTGAAATGATGCAAGTTCTTTTGAACTTACCACTAGTGTTTATATTCCTAGATTTTGTGTATAAAATTTTCTTTTTACAGAAAGAAAAGAAATTTTTGCTTAATTTCCTTTCCTGCCCCTCTATTGTCTATTGCTTCTTAGCTTAGACTCCCACGCTGAGTTGTTTTTCTCTGGCTCCTTTTTCTCTTCCTCATTGGTTTTTGCCAATTTGATTATGTGCACAGTCAAAACTGGTAGTTTCTCAAAGTTGTTCTGCTTGGAGTTTGTGGAGCTTCTTGGATCTGCGAGCCTATAGCTTCTTTCAAATTTAGAAATTTTCAGTCCTTCATTCTTAAAAGATTTTTTTCTGTGCTTCCCTTTTTCTGTTTTGGATTCTGATAACACCCACGTCACACTGCTTGATATTGTCCCATAGACAACTGATGCTCTGTTCTTTTTCTTTGTTTTCCTTCATCTTTTTCTGATTCATTTTGGATCATTTCTTTTGCTATATCTTCAAGTTCACAGTTCTTTTCCTCTGCTGTGTCTCATCTGCTTTTAAATCCCATCCAGAGTGTTTCTCATTTCAGATAGTTTTCATCTTTATGAGTTCTGTTTGAGTAAAATTTCTGGTCTGCTTACTGATGTTTCTTCCTGGTTTGGCTCATATTTCCTTGTCTTTGGTAATTTTTGATAGGATGGCAGACATGGATTTTATTTATTGGATGCTAGACTTTCAAAAAATTCCATCAAATATATTTGGACTTTGTACTGACATGTATTGAGTTACTAAGTTCCTAGGATGGAATGTAAACTATTAACATTTCCAGTGGGTGTGAGTAGCATCTTAGAGGGACTTGAGTAATCCTAAGAAAGTGGCCGGCAGCTCCATGTGCCACTTTTCCTACCTCACTTTCTGTGTGGCACAATGAATAAAGAGTGATGAAGTGTGCTGTGTTTTATCTTGTTTTAATACATTGCTTGTGACAGTAATCCTCTTTGATTCAATGCATTTTTTATGTTTGCTGTAGGAGTAATTAAATAATTTGGAAATCCTTTGAAACCAGTAGTGTTTATTGTGTCTGTGTGAGGTTATAAAGACTAAGATGACTTTCTGCTTTGGGATAGATGCAGGTTTGAAAACAAAAGATCTTCAGCTTCTAGAGAAGTATTCCAGGGATTTTGTCTTCTACTTTTATTTGGAGAGTGCAGCCAAGTGAATTTTTCCATGTGTAGAGAAATAACTTGTCCATAGTTAGATGACAAATATTTTTTTTGTTTCCCCAAATTAAATTTTTTCATAAAAGTTAGCCTTTTTATTCTATGTGCTGTCTTTGACTCTTTTTATCTGCTAAGGTAGTGGACTTGTTTCCATCATATGTAGATCAGACAGAGGTACTTACTAAAAAGTAAACTGTCCTCATCCTGAGGTCATGATTCTGTCCTTAGTTCTGGGGGCTTGCCCTCGGACACTTGGCTCACTGGAGGTTGGACACTTTCAGTCCCTCTTCAGAAAATTCTCTTCCACTTATTTGCATTTTAGTAATTTATTCATCCACAGAGTACTGCTGGATACCACTAAAACATGCCATTTTATGTGCCTGTTTTATACTTTAGTGTTTTCCACATAGCATTTTATTTCCAGTATTTTGATATCCTTGATTTTTTGGGGGAATATTTATAACTGAATTTGCTGAAATATTTTAGAATATTGACCTTACAAATTATATGTTAGTCTTTTCCTTAGTCTTAGAAAGATTAAGTCACATATGCAGTCACCTGTCTAGTCAGGCTGGGACTTAGCCTTAAGTCTTCTGCCTCCTGAGTTCACGTGTCTCTTTGCTGCATAGGGTGTGTTCTGATCGTCTAGTTTGCTCCTTTATCTGACTCCAGTTTTCTGTTTAGCTTGGCATCCCCTGCTGTCTGGCCTTGATGTATTTAACTGACTAAATGTTTGTGTTGTAGTTTTGTTGTGATTACCATTCTAAAATATGGAATATGTTGTTGTTCTAAAACACTGAGTGGTTTTGAGCACTATTCCAGAACCTTGGAGACAGACACAAAAGTAATGAGATACATTGTCCTTCCTTACCATGGACTTTATCTAAGTGGGGTGAAAAACGTTATAGTATTGAATTTGAAACAATTTAGAAGATGTTAAAAATGTAAAAACAGTTTCTGGTCCTATACCATGCTGAACTCAAAGGCAGACTTCTCTTTCTTTTCTTATTTTCTAAAGATTTTTAATTTTAAGTAATCTCTACACCCACTGTGGGGTTGTAACTCACAACCAGATCACCAGCTGCAGGCTCTACCGACTGAGCCAGCACATGCCCCCTCTCTTAACGTTAGGCAGATGAGTAAGGAACTTAGGTTCTCTCAGTGGGTGGCCAGTAGGTTCTCTGACTTCCCGGCTTATAATGTGAATAGTAGCAATCATTTAGTGAGCCCTGCACTATTATCACTCTTTTGTTAAGCACACATTTTTGGATTAAATCCTCATAGGTATGGATTCTAAGTATTATCCTTATTCTGTAAATGCACAATGTGGAGATTTTAAATAATTTGGCGAAGGCCCACATGGTTACTAACTAGCACAGTCAGGATTTGAACCAAAGTCGCTGGTGCCACAGAGCCTACAGTGCTAATCATTCCAAGCCTATGCTAGTAACCTCTACAACATAGGGAAGTGAAATGAGGGACCTTGTCATTGATAGCCATATCTTCTCATCAGCTGAATCAGCTAGTTTGCGGTGAGTGTAGAAGAAATAAATGGGTGTAGTAAATTTCAAGTTCATCTGGAAGTTGTATTATTTGTTGTACGACTGTGTGATACTTAAATTATAGGTGTGGTTAGTCTAAGGGAAGACGTATACTTAAAACTTATTTCTGGGGCACCTCGGGGCTCAGTCATTTGAACGTCTGACTTCAGCTCAAGTCATGATCCCATGGTTCATGAGTTCGAGCCCCGTATCAGGCTTGCTGCTGTCAGTGCAGAGCCCGCTTTAGATCCTATGTCCCCCTCTCTCCCTGCCCCTCCCCAGCTTGTGGGCTCTCTCAAAAATAAATAAACATTAAAAAAAAAAACCTTATTTCTAACTTTGCCTATGGTTTAATTTGTTGTAGTTAACTTTCAGGGTATATCATTTGTATGCCTTAATGTGTGCACGTATGTGTGGGGCCGTGTATATTCACTGTATCTAGAGTAGTCCTGTCTGGTTATATCAATTTTTGACCCTTCCAAGGGATTCTTTATGGATATAAACAAATTTATATAATTCTGCAGTCTTTTTATTTTTTGAAAGTTTATTTTTGAAATTTTGTGAGTATAATTCAATAATGTATCTTATATTTTAGAGTGTTTTTTTTATCTTGATTTTGTAATAGGTTTGATTTCATATCAGGATATAAACTGCCAGGAAGAAAACTGGTTCTGTCTTGGATCTAGTGTGGAGTTATGTTTGTAAAATACGAAGTGTACTTAGTAAAGAACGTTAAGCAGGCAGTAGACCGTCGTATGTATTTGAAAGGAACTTCATGATCGATTCCTTCTAGTTTGCTGTTCCGGGATTGTATTTGTTCTGTCTGTACTAAGAAGTTCTTTGTTGTTAGTTTTGCAAAAAAAAAAAAACAAAAAACTTTATCAAAATAGTATTTGAGCAGTTGGCTGGGGAGAGAGAGTTGGCAGGTAGCATTACCAGAGAGCAAGTTAATGAGGAGTGGCATTTTGAGGGTGAAAAGAAACGAATTCCGTTCCCCCCCGCCAGCCCTGCACTGTCGTGTGTAGCAGAGGACATGGGCACGTGGACCTCCCCCCTGTAGGCAGTACCCTGCTCTGCCGCGTGGGGGCACGGCAGAGCCCTTGCGTGCTTTCTGTTCCCTGCGCCTCCGGGGAACAGCAGCCCCGCGGGGCAGCGCAGGCGCGGCCAGCGCACACGCACCTTCCCCGCCCCGTCCGATTCGTATCTTCCAGTCCTTTGCTCTCTTTTTACCCCACCTGTGCGTAGCTTTTAGTTTTCAACTTCACCGACGTCAGGACTCCCCGAACGGCACGAGCCGCGCCGTGCTGCGCGGCGCTGCCCCCGTGGGTGGCGGGCGGGGCGAGGCCGGGCGGCGGCGGCACAGCGGGTGTGAGCGGCGCGGGCGGCGCGAAGCAAGGGGCGCAGAGCCCGCACGCGCGCGCACGCACCGCGCCGCTGAGCGTTTTCTCCGCGGCTTGTCCCCGTAGGGAGGAGCGCGCGCCGGAGGAGTCCGCCGGCCACAGTTCCCAGTCCGACGCCGAGGACTTTCCGGAGGAAGCCAACGCAGAGAGCCTCGACGGCGCCTCCCCGCCCAGCACCCCCCGCCAGATGAAGCGCCTGTCGGCCAAGCACCAGAGGAGTAACGCGGGGAGGCCCGCCGGCCGGTCCGCCGTGAAAGGTGAGCGCGGCGCGGGGACGCGCGGGCTGGGGGACGCGTGACGTGCCGGCGGGCGCAGCCTTTCCGCGCCCGTGCTCTCCTCCTCCTCTTACGGCCCATTTTAGTCCTGATGTCACACTTCTCGTCTTCGTGGCTGACCGACTGCCAGCAGCCGTGTTGTTGATAAGGGAGAAGCTCACTCTCCAGAGACAGGCGGGTCTGTCGGAGCGCCGCCCACAGCCGGCGGTGTGTGCAGCCGCCCAGTGCGCACCCCGGGGTGCTGCTGATGCAGGGGATAGCTGGCCTGCCTGTCTTTTTTTTTTTTTTTTTAATTTTTTAACGTTTATTTAATTTTGAGAGACAGAGCGCGAGCAGGGGAGGGGCAGAGAGAGACACACACAGAATCGGAAGCAGGCTCCAGGCCCTGAGCTGTCAGCGCAGAGCCTGATGTGGGGCTCGAACCATGAACCCGGGAGATCCTGACCTGAGGGATGCTTACCGAGCCACCCAGCCGCGCCAGTGGCCTCTTTTACTCTTTGGGTCTCTAGCTTTTGTCCTCAGGACTCCGTGTGTGGGCAGTTAGGGAGAGGCCGAGCCGGCTTCCCTGTGCTGTGTGTCGGTGACCGTGTCGCGCCCTGTGTGCGCGCGGCCCCCTCTTGCTGGGCACGGTGCCTGGACGGCACCCTACACCTCACCCCCGCAGACGCTTCTGCTTTCCTCTCTGCTTAGAGTCTCAGAGCCCAGATGAAGTTCCGTGCCTAGAAGCTGGAGTGCTTTCCCTTTTCACTGCCTGACTTCCTCCAGCATGTCCCGGCCGTCCGCTTGCAGGCGGGTAAATCCGGTCGCGCCGCCTGCCGCCTGCTTGTTCCCCGCTCTCTGGCTTCGATCCTCGGGTCACGGAAGCCTTACGGTTTTAGCATTTCTCTATTACTTTCAGCAAACCACTTGTCCTAAAACTGATCTTCTTCCTAGCTTTTTGGAATTTAGTCATCAATTGCTGCACAAGACAGAGATTTTATTCTTTATCTTATCTGAGAAATTTCACCTATCACATGCTCTCCCTTATTGACACCAAGCCCATGCCCATTTCTGCCTTTCCTTGGCCCGTGTTCTTACTTTTTCTTCAGCCAGGTTCCCCTTCCTACAGACTTCTTCCACACATTGACCTCTCATGGCTGTCAGGTGGCAAGTTCACTCTGTCCATCGTAGCCCTTCCTTAAGAAAGAAGGAAGGGGAGAGAAATGGATTTTGTTTATTTGCTTGTGTGAAATCTTACGCAGGAGAAGAATTCCTAAGCAGTAAGTAGCCATTCTTTTCCACAGGGAAGGTGATTTTTTACTTTTTTTTTTCTTAAGATTTAAAATATTTTTAAATCCTCTCTACACCCAATGTAGGGCTCAAACTTACAACCCTGAGATCAGGAGTCACATGCTCTACTGACCAAGCCAGCGGGGTGCCCGATTTTTTACTTTCTTTTAAAACTTTATTTGTACTGGGATGTTGACCTGTGACCTGTACTTATTACCCCCTTTGGAAACTAATAGCTTTCTATTGCAATTTATCATCTTTTTTTTTTTTAATGTTTTATTTATTTCTAGGAGAGAGAGAGAGACAGCGTGAGCAGGGGAGGGTCAGAGAGAGAGGGAGTTACAGACTCCGAAACAGGCTCCAGGCTCTGAGCTGGCAGTCAGCACAGAGCCCGACGCGGGGCTCGAACCCACGAACCACGAGATCATGACCTAAGCGAGAGTCGGTTGCTTAACCGACTAAGCCACCCAGGTGCCCCGCAGTTTATCATCTTTAAAACCAATCCTTATTCGTTTCCTCAAGGACGTCTGTAGAGGCTCCTATCTACAATACATGTCCATGAAGTAGCCTCTACTGAATCAGTATTAGCCAGTACATATTTGCTTGGAGGCGGGAAAACTGCAAAGATGCCTCTAGCACATCTGCCTTTTCTTCACTTGTTGGTCCATACTGTTAGTTTTATTTATTTCCATTATTTATTTATTAAAAATTTTTTAAATGTTTATTTTTAAGAGAGACAGAGTGGAAGCAAGGGTCAGAGAGAGAGGGAGACACAGAATTTGGAGGCAGGCTTCAGTCCCCGAGCCTGACAGCACTGCGCCTGACGCGGGGCTCGAACTCACAAACCCTGAGATCATGACCTGAGCCGAAGTTGGAAGCTTAACGGACTGAACCACCCAGGTGTCCCTAGTTTTTCTTTATTTTAAAAGTTTGTTTATTTATTTTGGGAGAGAGGGGGAAAGAGGGAGAGAATGAGAGAGAATCCCAACCATACTATTTTAGAATAGGAGTTGAAGGCATAATTCTCACATTTTATAGATTGAGAAACTGAGGCCTGTTATTTTTAAAGCAACTTTAAGACTAGAAAGCTCGAGATAGTGACAGGAGTAGTTTTAGAAATAATTCTCCTGGTACTTGGTTTGGATTTTTTTTTAGTACAAGCAGCAGATGTTAAGCTTACCTGAATACAGTATTTGAGTTAACTATCTGTCACTAATCAGAAAAATAGTTACTAGATATTTGCTGAACTCCTACTGTCCTTCTGCGGTGGGTGGGAGGTAGAAAAATGGAAGGTTGTCTGCTTTCCTCTTCAGTTTCTTTCAGTTGTTTATTTCATAAAATTACAGAATTTTAAACCTGGACAGGATCTTAGAGACCACTTACTCCAGTTCTTGCCATTTTTCAGGTAAAGAAGTGAATGGGTATATGTTTTTATTTTATTTCTTATTTATTTAAGTTTATTTATTTTGAGAGAAAGAGAGACAGACACAGCAAGCAGGATAGAGAGAGGGAGAGAGAGAGAGAATCCCAGGCAGGCTCCACATTGTCAGCACAGAGCCTGATGTGGGGCCCTAACTTATGAACCTTCCCTGAGATCATGACCTGAGTTGAAATCAAGAGCCGGAGGCTTGACCGACTGAGCCACCAGCTGCCCCGCCATGGGTCTTTTGGCTTGTACCTATCTAACAGCAGGCCTGGGAAGCCAAAATCCTTTATAACTTCATCTTTTTTTCTTACTGTAGAAGATTATGTTTGTTGTAGGAAATTTAGAAAATATAAAAAGAAATAAAAGTGCCTATAAACCCACTACCAGAAGTAATACCTTTCACTGTCTTTGGTGAGAACCCCATCTCACGTGGGAAGCAGGCAAGTAAACAGGTGGCGCACTCTTGGGGGTGAAACTGGAAGGGAGGCTGGCGAGGGGAGACTGCTCCCAGCCTCCACAGGAGGGGCTCAGGGCTTCTGGAACAAGAGACATTTGTGCTGTGACCTGAGGGCTGAGTCAGGGAGACCAATATTTCAAACGAGTGTGTGATTCATGATAATATATTGGTCCCTTAGTATTTTTAAGAGCTTTTAGAATTAATTGCGTTGGTCAGATTTATTTTAATAACTTTCCAAGGAACTATAAGCTGGTGCGTTCTTTCCTCCCCACCGCCACGAGCAGAGGCGCTCTGAATCAGACTCTTCACCTTACAACTACACTCCGAGTTGGGCTCCTCTTTTTAATACATGTCACCAGTGATGTCTGCATTTTTCTGGTTATCTATGGCTGTGTAACAAACCACCCCGAAACTTAGTGGCATGAAAGGACAACCATTTGATTGTGCTCATGATTCTGTGGGCCACGTGTTGGGCAGGTCACGACTCCTCTCAAACCCGTCGTGGCTGGAGCGTTAGCTGAAATGGCTCAGTTGGCTGGAGCGTTAGCTGAAATGGCTCAGTTGGCTGGAGATGTGGTCATGGCCTGGACAGGCCCCGAAGTGTGGGCTTTCAGTTCTTCTCCTCTGGTGTCTGCTGGGTCTCTGTGGTCCACGATGGCTCCCTTACTCGCATGTGTGGCGCCTGGGCTGAGAGCTGGCTGGCATTGTTCTTTTCCCACGTAAGCTTCCACGTGGCATGTCCGGGCTTTGTCACAGCATACTGGTCCCTGGGAAATGGGACTTCTTATGTGGCAGCTAGCTTCCCCCAGAGCAAGTGCCATGAGAGATCAAGGTGAAAGCTGTAAGGTTCACAACTTAGGAAGTCACACACGCCACTTTTGCTGTATTCTTTGGCTACCTACACATGGCCACCAAAATCCAGTGTGGGGGGACCACAGGGCATTTCAGCAGCAGGAGGTGCGGTCGTTGGCTCTAAGAGACTAGCTTCTACCTGCACTGGATGTAAAGCTTTGGAGAATGTGTGTCTGGGCAGCCTTACTGTCTTTTTGCCTCCAGCCTCTCTCCTTTGTAAATGCAGACCACATCATAAGCCGTCCTGAAGGATGTAAGTGAAAAGGTAACCCAGGGCATTATATTGAAAGGACGTAAGAGTAACTGTTAACAATTACTTTCTTTTAGTAATGGTAGCCATTGCCATGAACTGATTATATGGATAAGATTCTTCAAATGCTTTTATTATTATAGGACCAGAGTAACTGCTACTAATCTATAGTAGTAACTAAGTACTGTAGATTTATTTTTTATAATTGGAAATCCAGTCAGGCCCCCTTCTAACTAGCCTGCTATAAATTGAGAGTCCCCATGAGACCCTCCTCAGGTCCATAATATCTAGAACTGTTCACAGAATTCGGGAACACACTTTATTACTCCGTTGATGGTTTATTATAAAGGAGTCAGGAACAGCCAAATGGAGTAGACGCACAGGGCAAGGTGTGGGGCTGACCTGAAACTTCTGGGTCCTGTCGGGCCGTCGCCTCCCACCACCTCCATGTGTTCACCAACCCGGGGCACGTCACATTTCCTGTTCGAGAGTTTTTGTAGAGCTTCATCTCCAGACTGCCCCCTCTCACCCCTTTCTGGGAGCTTAGGAAGGCGGGGAGGGGGCTGCAGGTTCCGTCCCACAATGACTCGCTCCTTCTGTGACCAGCCCCATCCTCAGGCTTTCTAGGAGCACCTCCTAAGTCACATCTTTAGCATCAATTTCTTAGATGTGATCGAAAGGGCCTCCTTATGAATAATAAAAGATACCCCTATCATTTAGCAGCTCTG